ATTTTGAAGTAAATTCCACGTAAAAGTAACGACGAATCTACTTTGAAACTTATTTTTATGCATTGATTATTAAATTATTATATTAATTATAATAATAATTAAAAAAAAAATAAAATAATGAAGAAATTTTTTTTTATATAAAAATTTAAGTTTTAAAATTTATATTACAACAAAACAAAATAAAAGAGCTAGGGGTCGTCGTTCCTTCTGTCCATCTCATCATGGCGGTCTGGAACTGGAAAGCCCAATTGTCTCCGTCTCTCTGCTAACATCATCTCCAATTGTGGATTTTCAGCCGCTAGAACGTCTAAAAAACCCTCGAGTGAACCCATTTGAGCTTGCATAGTGCTCAAATCAGAACGCATCGCGTTCAACTCCAAACGCAGCTGAGCAGTCTCTTCATCCCGTCGCTGAGCATAAGACGATGTCGCTCTTGGGACATCGTTAACGGAACCAATCACCAATCTACTTCCCTTTTTCTTAGGTATGACCTTTAAAAAAAAATTGAAGTTAGCTAATAATAAAATGTTAGATATTAAATGAATAATAATAAAAAGAATTTACCTGCTCGTAAATCTCATCCACTTCAGATATGGAGAATATGACGGGTATCCCATTAGGGGACTGCTGGGTCAGCTAGGTTTGGCGTTCTTCAATTTGAGCAGCAATATCATTGTAAATTTTCTCGGATATAGGATCTACAAATTTCCCAGTCTTGTTTTCGTGGATCCTCTCGTAGAGCTCCTTAAGAGATAGTAAAGATCCCGTATCTTTGACCTGAAAATAGATTTTAAAAATAATTAATCAATTAAAATAGATATAATTAAAAAATTCAATTAATCTTAATATTTACTCACAATGAATCTACGAGGATTTGTAATTTTCTCGTAATATTCTCGTAGAAAACACGTAATTTTACGAGGAGCCATTTCCTTCCTTAAATTTCGTAGTTAAAATTTATTTTCTTGTAGTATTTTGTTTTGAGTCATATTTACTAAATCCCTGATAAATAAATCATTTATGTTATTCAAATAGAAAATAAAGAAATATAGAGTTAAATATTTATAGTAGTGTATAGCATTGTATAGGTGTATATATGTATCGAGCAATCTATATAATATCAAAATTATGTATTTTACAAAAAATATATATACTTTTGTAATAGTAATTTCTACTTTTACAATACAAACAAATAATAGCTAAGTACTAACCGGTCAAAAAGAACAAATTGATAAAACAATATAAATATGAAAAAGAGAAATATTTTAATTATACTCATAAAATAAAATAAATTACAATTAACTATATTTGTCTTTTATAAAGTATTGCAAAAATAAATTTAAATTATCAAAGTAGACTCGCACGTAGTACAAATAGAAAACTAGTATATATATTAAAAATTAATTACAAAGATATTAAAGTATTACATATATATATATATATATATATATATATATATATATTCCTCATAAATATATCTAAAACAGTTATAATTTTTATAAAAATATTTTAAACTTTTAATAAATATAAACTCAAGGGCTTAATTTTTTTCAGTCTTAAGACAAACTGACAAAGTTTGAACCAATCTTATATATATATATATATATATATATATATATATATATATATGTATGTATGTATATGAATTAAAATGTTGAGATGAAAAAGGTAGAGTTAGTCTTGATCTAAAGAGAATATATTTGGTTGAACGTGTAAGTGCAAAGATGACACCACAATAAGGTAGTACAGAAGGTAAACCAAGAGACAAAACACCAATAGCTTTATTCAAATATTCTTTAAACAATCTTTACAAGACCTTGTTTATTCAGCTTTACACGTCTAGTGTTAACACCCTAACACACGTCACTGAAAGATTCCTAAGCTACTCACTTATGTCTCTCTGCCGTCAAGTACTTCAGCCTCTGCTTCAGCACGACCCAAGAACACCTTAAGAGCTTCTCTCTCTCTCTATAAGATTAGCCTCCGTGTCTNCTTTACAAGACCTTGTTTATTCAGCTTTACACGTCTAGTGTTAACACCCTAACACACGTCACTGAAAGATTCCTAAGCTACTCACTTATGTCTCTCTGCCGTCAAGTACTTCAGCCTCTGCTTCAGCACGACCCAAGAACACCTTAAGAGCTTCTCTCTCTCTCTATAAGATTAGCCTCCGTGTCTCTGTCTCTCTGCAGACGACCCCCTTGCTATCTTATACTTATTCTCCACGTTCTTGAAACCCTAGTCTCCAAGGAACACAATATGGACATCTTCCATAACATTGAGTGCAACATTCCTTTTCTTGAAATGCACTTATTCCTCTTTCTTTAAGTCATAAACTTACTCCTCAAGTTTATTCCTCTTGCCTTTTCTCCAAGATACACCCTTGCTCTCCAAGATACACCCTTGCTCTCCAAGTCTACACGACTCCAGCTCAGCATCTTGACTCCACATGGTCTTTACCACTCAACACGACGTCTACCTCAGCAACTACGTCAGCGACTACTTCAGGACGGACATCTTACATCTTCAGAGCGATCAGACAATAATTGTATGCTATATAACTTGCAATGTGCCAAAATGATTTAAATACTGAAATGATTAATTACCTTAAAGAATGACTTGGTTTTTCTTTTTTTTGTTGTAGAAGAAAACTTAGTCTTTCTTATTCTTTAAGTTGAGCCAAAACAAAACAAACTAACATGGCATTTGCTGTGCATTGTTTGTTTTTTCTCCACGTCGTTAAACAGGGAGAAAGTGAAGTTTTGCATTTCGTCTATAAAAGGAAGTTCTCTCTACTTAAGAAGTCATCAGGAAGTTCATACTCTAATTAAATAACTGACACACGCTTATACAACACTTCTGGAGGTAGTCTTACCAAGCTTGGCCTCTATCGTATGTGTCTAAACTCTCTTTCTTCACCTATTGTCAAAGTATTGCCAAAGTTTTTTTTTTTTGAGAAAATTATTCGAAATGCCCTTGAAGATTTTAGTGTAATCTATCATAGTTCCATATTTGAATATTTTAGTGTAATCTATCTTTTATCTATACAATTAAAATAGAAGTCAGGACTTATTTATATGTGATTTTTTTTATTTGTACCATCTCATACTTTATTGAATGTATTTCTTTAACTTTAATGCTAATAATTTTAAATTTTTTAAAAATATATATACAATTAAAATAGAAGTCAAAAATCTAGCAAATCTTTCATGTGTATTTTTTTATTTGGACCATCTTTTCGATACTTTATTGAATGTATTAGCATAATGCTAGTAATACAAAATCTTTTAGCTACCCTAATCATAATATTTTTTTATATTTTTAATTTTAAATATATATATATATATATAAAAAAAAAATCTAACAAATCTTTTGAAAAAGATTATAACAGGCTAAGCTCTTACTTAATTTTCAAAATGAGTTATATTAGTATTTTTCATTTTAAATATATATATATATATTCAGTTATCCTTTATAAGTTAAAAATACTATCGTATTTTACCTATTTTTTAATAATAATCTATCATATTAAAAATATTATATTAAACTAAATATAATAAAATTATATTAAATTTATATATTAATATACTTTATTTTCAAAAAATTAGTCAAAACAATTGCGCTAAATATATAATATGTTGGAAAAACAGGTTAACATTAGTATATAATACACGTCTAAAAAATAATATAATAGTCTATTATTGAAAATGAATAAAAATTAAAAAAAATTAAAGGTAATCCATCGCTTTGAATTACGGGTTAGAATCTATAATAAATTAAGTACAATATAATTTTCAAATATGTTGTTTCATACTTATATTAAGTTTTAAAAAAAAATCAATCACAAATTTAATTAAACTAATATATAACAAGAAATGACAAATACATGACAGTTTGAAAAAGTTAATTATATTACAAACTGAAATTATAAAATTATTATATTTGAAATAGTGATATGACAGATTTTGTTATAACTAAAAATAAAATTTAAATTTATAATTAGAAAAATTTAATATCAATATTTATTGATTATTATGTCATATTTTGTAACAAATAAAATAGATCTACTATATATTTTGTATAGTAGATTAAAAGTGAGTATATTTTAATAGATTAGATTAGGATATTAGATTAGCGTTAAATAAATATTTATTGTTGGGATATTATTAGATAAATTATACAAAATACATTAATTAAACATTCTAAATAGTGATTCAAATAAGAATTTTTTTTTTCTAAATCTTGAATTAATAGATAAAATATTAAAAATATTTATGAAAACTATTCTTAAAAACAATTAAGAGATTCTTTATCTAGTTATAATAAATTAAAATATTTTAATTTATTTTAAATACAATAAACTCAGACAACGGTTTCTAAGATTTATATCTGAATATGGTGTAAATCTGAATATGGTGTACCATATTAGAATGTTAAACTACATTTTAAATAAATTTTAGCTTAGTTTTACGTATTTTGATCTAGATTATATTCTCGCAAATATCATGTTTTTGGTAGACCTTAATTCAGAAAATTGCTTTAGAAGTCAAGTTATCTTATTATAGATTATGAGTTTTTAGTGGTTTCCAGTGGCGAACCTATGTCGTCTAAGAAGTAGGCAGTTGCCCCAACAAAAATATCATTAAAGTGCCCCCTCTAGACCACGGTTCAAACGCCCTTCTGCACTATTTACTTTCTTTTTATTTATTTTATGCCCCCACAAACAATATATTCTAGATTTGCCACTGATGGTTTCCCTTATAATTACACGATTCTGTAGTTTCCACTCTTTTCTTAGAAGGCAGAATACTGTAGTTTGTAAGTAAATATTTTTTTCTAACTATACGGTTTGGGCAAAGCCTAACGGTAGTCATTAGTCTTCATTCAAGCCCGGTCATATGTATTTGGACATCTAAATACATTCTTACACTAAATTTTTGATGTCGTTACATGAAGATTAAATTCGTATAAACTGTCATTTGATTTGTTAGGAAGTCAAAATGAATCTGTTGTATGTCATTATTGCAACATTCATCTTCGTTGCATCTATACTCATTGCAACAAAGTCAAAGAAGAAAACGATGAATCTACCTCCTGGACCACCGCAGCTTCCTATGATTGGCAACTTGCACCAACTGGGCTCGCAACCTCATCGTTCCATGTTCAAATTATCTGAAAAATACGGATCTCTAATGTCCCTAAAGTTGGGGAAAGTATCTACAGTTGTGGCATCAACTCCAGAGACAGTGAAGGATGTCTTAAAGACATTCGATGTAGAATGTTGTTCCCGACCATACATGACTTACCCTGCAAGATTTACATATGGTTTGAACGACATCGCGTTTTCACCCTACAGCCAATATTGGAGGGAAGTACGAAAGGTGGCGGTTGTTGAACTCTTCACCAGGAAAAGAGTACAGTCTTTTCGACATGTCCGAGAAGAAGAAGTTGCCTCCTTTGTTGATTACGTGAAACAATCTGCTTCATCTGAGCTTCTGGTTAACTTCAACCAGAAGTTAATGAAGTTGTCGGGAAGGATGTTTTGTTTAAGGTACTCTTTTCAAGCTGCAGTCTATGCTTTATGGAGAGAAAGAAACAGAATAAGGCATGGTGAGAAACCTATGGGTATTGATAATTTGAAGAGGATAGTTGAGAAAGGGATCAGGAATAAGCTTAGTATTGTGAGGATGCAGGGGCGTGATGTCTTGCATTATTGCATTGTTTTATCTACTCTTTTGCATACCTTTTCATCATGTAGGTTAGGTTCTAGCCATGTTTAGGTTGCATTTTGCATACATGAGTCCCCTTTAGGTATTGGAGTTTCACATGGAAGCTTTGGAGACATTTGGGGTTCATTAGAGGCTCAAAAGAAGCAAAAGGAGTGATCTAGACCCGG